TTACATCATCCACAATTAGAAAACTCACCCTAGGATGTCTTGGTGTGAGGAATTCTATCCAGTGTGATCAAAAATCTCGGATGTTTTTCTTACACAGTCACAGAAATTTAAATCATGCTGCTGAAGACAGCTTGATTTTGAATGGTTTGGGATGTGGAGCTTTTGATGTGAAGCCTCAACTGAATGACAGACGAGGTTTGTTTTCTTGGCTCCATTGTCACTTGGGAATTCAGAGCCACAGAAATTTCCACACAACAAGCAAGGGACATGGTGAGCTTGGGGTTTTAATGTCCCTAGCTCAGTTGCTAAGACTTGGCAAACCTGAAAATCTCTTGGAGCTGATTTGCAATCTAGAGACCTAGGCCCCACACTGGGCAATCCTGACTCTGGTCTCAGGTGAAACCCAGGAAGCAGTTTCCTAACAGTCTGATGGGTGCCCTGCGATCTCACTAAGTTCACCCTTAGTGAACTGATTATAGAGAAATCAAACATTTCTGAAAGTCTAACTGGAAATTTTAAACTTCATCTTTCTTAAACAAGAGTCTCTAATGTCAGGCTTTGGGGGAAACTAGACTTCGCAGACCGTATTTACCTTTAAGTTTAAAGTTGTGGCTTGCATATAGAAGCTCATTGTTTTGTTTTATAATTTTTAAAACATCATTTTATTTTGGGCACACTGTGAAGTTTTCATACACACAGATTATGTAATAATCACAGTAACAATTTGGCTTTTAAAATATCCTAATACTAATACTGTAGTCTTTACCAAGATGGGACAATATTTCAATTTCTCATGTCCATATTTGTAGCCCTGATAGACACTATAGGCACATAAGAGAAAATAACATGAGGGGCAGAAAAATTACCCCAAATAGGTTAATTCCTTTTGTTTGAATTCTTCTAATTAAGTTTTCATCCAGGCTACCAATATAAAATTGATTTTGGCCATTAGAATCAATCAAACACAGGTTTAATGAAACTGAGGGAAAGGCTTACAGTAAGGAAGCAGATATCACTATGCAGGCACCAATACTTACTTCCTGTGAGTTCATGCCCCAGAGCACCTTTCAATGAGGACTTGCCTTTCCCCACATTTCTAGCCAGGAGAATAAAAGTAGAAAGGGGGATACCTGTTTCCAGACCTGATTCATGCAGGTCTCATGAAAAATGGGTTTAGAATCTCAACACACAAGTATTGTTTGATCCAAACATTGCATCAGTATTTTGCTGGACATCTTTAGTTGTCAACTTGACATACCTGGTTAGAGGGAACCTCAATTAGAGGGTTGTCTCAGTGGATTGTCCTATAGTGAAATCTGTTTGGCCTTTTGTTGATTGTTGAGTCAAATGGGTGGTGGACCCCACTGTGGGTGGTTCCACCTCTTGGAGGGTGGTCTTGTGTTGTATAAAAAAGCAGGCAGAGCCTTGGCCAGAGGAGCAAGCCAGTAAACAGAGTTTCTCCATGGTCTGTGTTCCAGGTTCCTGCCCTGAGTTCCTGCCTTGGTTTCTCTTGATGGGCTGTGTTTGATTGCCAAAAAAAAAAACCCTTTCCTCCCCAAGTTGTTTTTGGTCAGTGTTTTTATCATAGCAGTAGGGAAACATACTAGAACTAGTACCTTTGGGCCAGGAGAGTAAAAATCTCCATGCATGACTCTTCAGTGCTGCTTTATTCTGACAATCTCAAATGGAAATGACTTAGGTGTTGTTCAGCAAGTAAGTGTTGGTGCCTGTGGAGTAATATCTGCTTCATTTGTAAACATGAACCACTACACCCGAACTTTTGCTCCTTTTAAAAAATTTAGTACTCATTATATGAATGGAGCTTATCTAAGTATTTATCCAAGAGAAATAAAAATCTGCTCCACAGTGTCCACAGAAACAGGGTCTTATCTGCTCATTCTGGTTGGCAACCAAAGTGAATGGCAATAGCCAGCATGCAGCATCTCAAGAAGAGGGGCCCCATGGTGGCACTAGAGGCTCACTCCTCCCTTGGTACTTTCCATATTGCTGAAAGATACTGTTCCCAGTTGTGAACTTGATGAACGACAACACAGCCTGTCACATAAGATGTGTGCTCTGGCATAACAGTGACACAAGAGTAACCAATGATTCTTGGATTGTATTTGAGACTGGCTCCACAAAGGGGATATTGACACTGTCAACCTGGCCAATGACTCATGGTTGGGCAGGTCATGGGCCCTAGAGCAGCTTACATCTGTGATTTAGCTTATAGAAATGGTACCAAACTGCAGTGTACATATGATGTTTACAACCATAGATTACTCTCTTCCTTAATCACAGCATCTTGACTTTGCAGTGATCAACAATGAATGCAGAGAGGCAGGGCTGATCAATATGCTTAGGATACATGACAAGTCAATGCTCAGCTCCAAACATGGCATGAATTCCTCAAAAGATCATGCAACACTACGGAAGAGAGAGTGTGAAGGAGGTGATGGGGATAAGAGATGCAAAATACTGCCTTCAGGCATGACACAGACATTGTACACCTGATCTTACAGAAACTCTGGTTCCCTGAACTAGCCCTACACAGACCTGGGCCTGCCAATAGCAAATTATAGACTGAAGAGTGGCTCCTTGGGCCTTATTCCTCTCTGCTGATATGCTGACAGCTAATGGATTCTGGTGGGAAGACAGCCATTCCCATCAGTTATGTACCAACTGCTGAGCCCACCGGGTTGCAGTTGATATTTCCAAACTTGGGACCACATAGACATTCGTGTTTAAAATCAGAGGGACACTGACAAAAGCAAAACAAAAAGTTATGACTGTGTAAAACGGACCTGTATGGAGGAAGGAGAGCAGCAAGTGTAGGAGGGATACAGGAGAGTGTGCGAATGAGGGTTAACAGAATGTTCTAGATAGGTGTATGAAATTGTCAAAGCACAGGTTTAATCAATAAAAACAAGGTCTCAACAAGTTATCTAAATATTTATCAAAGCTTTATTTACAGTAATCCCACTGGAATCAACGTTTTCAGTCAGTAAGTGAATGAATGAAATATCTCATAAAGAAATAAGTAATTAAAATAAATCTTACAAATTTGTAAAATGAATGCTCCAATTCTATGTGGTGAAATACAACTCATAAATCCTAAAGGAACACACCCACATGGTTCAACCTTGGAACATTATATAATGTAGCACAAATGTTTGCTCAACAGTTCCAAATTCTTAGAGAAGATAAAGCACATTTATAAGTAGAAAAAAAATGTCATTTTTTTTGTTGTCCATGGATAGATATGGCTTAAATAATTGACTCAAAAAATCAGGATCAAAAATTTAGGAGTAAAACATACTCCCTTCCATTTCATCATGATTGCTCATTTCTTTTTTTTAAAAAAGGTTTATTTTATGTGTGTGCACATATGTAAGATACTATGAAGGTACCTGATGCTGATGAAAGCCAGAAGAGGGTGTCAGATGCTCTGGAGATGGAGATAACAAGTAGTTG